TTTGTGAACAAAAGAGCTGCATTGCTCATGGGATTCCTCCTCCAGCCGAAATTAAGTTTCCGATTCTGATGATCCATTGCCACGGTTGTGGCCGCTCACACAACACCCTAACCCGCGTGTGTTGCCATGACTCACCATAGCGGTCACCACCCCAGGTGAACACACGGTCCAGGGTGCAGCCCTGCAATTTGGTTTCTCACGACACAGGCTGCTGGAGAGGATTTCACCAACACTACAACCACCACCACAACCACTACAACCACCACCACAACCACCATTACCACCACATCCACCACAACCACCACAACCACCACCACCACCACAACCACCACCACAACCACCACCACAACCACCACCACCATAACCACCATTACAACCACTATCACAACCACTACCACCACAACCACCACAACCAACACCACAACCACCACAACCACCATCACAACCACCACAACCACCACAATCACCACCACCACCACCACCACCACAACCACCACCACAACCACCATTACAACCACTACCACCACAACCACCACAACCAACACCACAACCACCACAACCACCATCACAACCACCACAACCACCACCACCACCACAACCACCATTACAACCACTACCACCACCACCACCACAACCACTACAACCACCACAACCACCACCACAACCACAACCACCACCACAACCACTACAACCACCACCACCACAGCGAGCATTCGAGAGCCTCTTCCTTAGACCGCACCTCGTTATTTGTTAGCCTCTCTGGATATTCCTCTTCCATTCTGGCCAGACGTCTTTGAAACGATTTAACCATTAACTATTCAACTTTTTTACTTTACCAGGTAAAGCCTACTGAGCTACATAGATTTTTTTTTTCCAAGAAGCGATCTGGCCACAATTGAAAGCTCAACGGAGTGGCTTGTCATCGGCTGGAAATGTATCGCAGCCAAATATTCTGAACGCATGTTTATTCTAAATTTGGAGGGGGAAATCGGAGTACACGCAAACTCTAATCATACGGGCGTCGGGGTTGCGATCGGACCCACGACCTTCTTTATACCAGGCGAGGTAGTTAACCCCTCGCCACCACGGCGCCCCCGAGGTGGAGGTACCCACACTTTACCCCACCGCACGCGACCTGCCGATCGACTCACTACGATATACATCATCTATACTGCTGCGTGGACAGCAGGCGGTCGGATTGAAGACACTTGCACCATGGTTTCAGCTGACGCACCATGAGGTCAAGCCGGTGACCTCTGGGTTGCAAGTCCAGTGAGGGCGCTGACCATTGCATTTGTAATTCTTCAATGCGCGAGGTCTTTACGCCCTGACAGGACAAAAAGTTAAATAACCTCTCACAGTTTTTCTAAGATGCAGTTGTGTAGGACCCGAGCCAGCTTTGATCATGTGGCAAAATGTACAGGTCAAACAAAATTATTGCACGAGTACCAGGGGGTCATGACCCCGTGCAATATTTACCCAAATTGCACAGACGAAGTCAACATAATCATTTTTTAAAACCCCTTTCTTATTCAAACACTCTCGCACAATCCGTGAGCAACATATAAACCGCACGGGATCATTATTATAGCCGTCGACTCAATTATTAAACGGTTGAGCTATGTTTCAGAGATGGTGACGGGCAGGCTCGCTACACTCTCCGTTTTCACCAATTGCATTTCCCGACCGCGCTACGCACGTCGCGCACTGACAACGACGCGTCCATCCGGAACTCCTCGCCGAGCAAATCTCTCGCACACATCCCGGGTCGGGGAGCGTTGTGTGGAATACGCTTTAATTCAATCGCTTCTGACATCCCTTGAAGGGACCTTTTTTTTATCCACGCAACTTTCACCGGCAGTCAAACTGACAATTTTAATTTTTTTTACCAGAGGGCCATCTGCACTATGGGTAGGGTAAACCTGGCATTCACACAACAGTCGCCTTAGCTTATATTATTTATATTTATAAAGCACACGCCTTGGCTCAAGGCTCCAAGGCGTGCTTTTAAACAAAGTTTAAAAAGCGGAAACTACAATCGAGTGATTTAGATGGCAGGGGCAGTGCGAGCGCCGTGAAATGAATGACCGTAACAGAAGGCACGCGCGCGGGTCTCGAAAGGGCTACAGGGGAGGGACGGGAAGGGGTGGAGGGACAAGGGGAGGGAAGAGGAAGGGAATTGGCGATAGAGAAGAGGTGAGGTTTTGAGAGATAAACGGAAGGAGGTTAAGGAGGGGGAATGCTTCATGTACATGGGCAATGCTGATTCTATGGGTAGTGTTGAGTCTATGGGTAATGTTGAGTCTATGGGCAGTGTTTGGTCTATGGACAGTGTTGAGTCTATGGGCAGTGTTGGGTCTACGGGTAATATTGAGTCTGTGGGCGGTGCTGAGTCTATGGGCAGTGTTGAGTCTATGGACAGTTAAATTTCGATTTAAAGCTTTCGTGACTGCAGGAATTCATCTTCTTGGTTCTTTCGGTAAAGTCACGTAGAATGGAAATAATAAAATAATAAAATAATAAAAATAAAACATAATAAAATACTTTTCACGACGTTTCGGCCACAACGCAAGCAGCCGTCGGCTACTTGCGTTGTGGCCGAAACGTCGTGAGAATTATTTTATTATGTTAAATGTTTATTATTTTATTATTTCCATTCTACGTGACTTTATCTATGGACAGTGTTGAGTCTATGGACAGTGTTGAGTCTATGGGTAGTGTTGAGTCTATGGACAGTGTTGAGTCCATGGGCAGTATTGGGTCAATAGGCATTTATAAGTCCCTGGTGCAGTGTTGAGTCTACGGAGAAGAGCCACCCAACGTTAGGGGTGCATTGTCAGCGGTGCCACCGTGCGGGGAGCGGGGGGCACCTCCCGACGATGGGAAATAAACCTTCAGCTCATCCGCTTGTCGCGCTCCACTCCCACTTTGCGTCGCGGGGAGTCGTGCCGCTAACAGGGTAGGGGGGGGGCGGGTGGAGGCAAGGCGCGAACAATCCCCGGGATGATGAAAGCCGGCGGCTCCAGGCAGCGCCATGCGCAGCCCTCCCCACTAATGAAGGGTGATATGTCACCATCGACGCAACAAAGGCGGGCGAGCGGAGTTAATCGCCCGAGCCCTCGAGGAAAAAAAAACCGAGGCTCATTCGTCTATCTTCAAAAAGCAGCGGCTCAGCCTCCACGTTAGTGCCTGGGCGCACGCCTACGGAGGCTGCCGAGTAACGGGTAGGGAGGGGTAGGTGGGGTTCTAGGCGTATTAAAAAGAGGCTCGCGAATTTCGCTCCGCAACGTACAGCGCTGATTGCGCACACTCGCAGCCGTGCCGGAAAGCCAATAACATTGATAATAGAGGTTTTTTGGGTTAGATCAGGCGGCAGCCATATTTGTGGAGAAATCCTCCTGTTTCGTTCCTTGAATAGAGGGGTAGATGTGATGACGTCACTTGTGAGTCCTTCTTGAGCGAAGTGGGGGAAGGGGGGGATTAATGAATGCATATACATGACAAACGTCGCACTCAGTTTGTAAATCTTGTGACTTGGCTCTCCAACACACCGGTGTGCTGTACTAGTACACTACACTATACACTACACTATACACTACACTATACACTACACTATACACTAGTGCTGTACTAGTGACGAATTGGCCACGTTCTGTTTACGTGACAACCCTTACCTAGTTAGCTGTGTCGGGTGGTGGCGGGTTTAACGACACATTATCATATTTACGCGACCTAACCCAAAAAAAAACTCTATTATGCATGATATTGGTCGCGAAAGCCTGCCACGTGTGTAACTCAATACAATTTCCTTCGAGAATCCCCCGTAGAACACTCGCGCACCCCGCTGCCGGCGGAAGGCCTTCCGCGAGTGGCAGGAGGTCGTCGGCAAAAGAAACCTGCGGCTCTGGAGGCTCTGGAGCCTTGCCGTGGCTCTTTGAAGGGGCTGCCTCGTGATGTTATTTATCGAGGACCGCCACCGTCTCGTATTCACCACCACCACCACCACGTTGCATTGCGGAGGCTCTTGAAGCATTGAGGGGTTGTTGTTTTTTTCATTTGTTTACCGAATTCGAATTTTTTTTGTCTGATTGTGGCTTTGGGTTTGCCGACGCCTGCACCAGGGGGGTCTGTAGAGAGGCCCTCGATGAAGGCACTTTTGGCCTACTCTTTCACGTCTCACAAGAGGTGGGAGGACCCACACGTTACCCCGCCACACGCGACCCGTCAGTGGACTAACTGTGGCCTACACATTTATACCGATGGGTGGACAGAGGTTGGAGTGGGGAGGGGGAGGGTTAAGAAACAGCCCCCACCATCAGCACCCAGCCATCCAATTGCATGAGCCACTGCCCCCACACCACCCTCGTCTACCCCCCCCACCCCGTCTCCGCACATTAATTAATTTATTTATCAGAATATGCATTTATACTGGAGGAATCCGATGGGCTATAAAGCTCTTTTGTCACACATGTGCAGCTGACCCCGTCCAGTCACGACCAATGAGCTCCGCAGACAGAGAACCGCGCTGCGCCGAGCCGGCCGCGCGCTCGCCGTCGCAACCGTCACAGCATGCGTCGGAAAACGCGAATAAAGAAGACCTCAATATGTAAAGGATATGGATTCCTGCAATCACGAAAGCTTTAAGTCAAGATTTGAGACCCTCAATAAATGAACAGACAGTGCTATAATGCAGGGGTCGACAAAACAAAAAGTAACAAGAAGGGCAATTATTGGTCGAATTCAGTCACGAAAAAAACGAATAGCAAAAACTCAATATTTCAAGTTTGACACCGCAACGCGAAGTGATGAATACGAGACGGCAGCGGTCCTCGATAACTAACGTCACGAAGCAGCCCCTTAAAGAGCCACACGCGGCTCCAGCGCCGCAGCTTTGCCGACCACCTGTTCTAAGAGAAGGCAGCTTCAGCATGGAGTGGAGAGCGAGAGAGGCAGGGGGGGTGGGGGCAGAAGGGAGGTGGTGGTGGGGGGGGCCTCCTCACCGTCGACGCAGCCCGGGCGCGTGCGCGTGGTGCCGGCCACCTGGCCGGGCAGGCACGAGCACTTGACCGTCTGCGAGCGCTCCTCGATCTTGTTCTTGTTGCAGCAGCGGTGCGCTTTCAGAACCTCGCACGTGCCCATTCGCATCGGCCCTGGGAGGGGGCGGGGGGGGGGGAACACGCCACACGCGCATGAAGATACAGATCCACCCGTTTAGACTTTACAGACTGTAGGAGCAAGTGCTGTTCGCAAGCAGCGCCTATGAAGGGCACACGAGTGGTTGGGTGGCCAACACCACGCCCGGCCGCCTTTGTCTCGTCAGCGGCGATGTTTACACATCGCTCCAGGTTCTCGTTTGAGGCTGAGTCGACCTAGGGGAGGCCCTGCACCGGTCGCTGGTGTTGACCGTGATTGGGAATCGAACTCGGTTGGCCGGGTTCGTAACGCAGCGTTCTGACCGCGACACGACCGCTCTCAAAACGCACACAATACACTGTCAATACACACACACAATACGCTCTGAATATACACACACACGTGCGCACACATGCATGACACCAACCAGTGTCCCATTAGCCCACCCCACCTGCTCGTTTAATTTTTTTGCATTTTTTTATTTATTCCTCCCCCCCCCGCTAGTATTTCTTAAGTGATTGCCACCGTGGTGTAATGGGGTTCGCACACGCGCTCTTTCGATCCAGAGGTCGCCGCATTGATTTGATTTACCGATGGAACCCGCGACGAGATAACAGGCACCCTGGGTGATGCGTTGATTGCCCAGGCGGGGGGGGGGCAGTGGGCGTTCACACACCCTGGGCGAGGAGCGGTTTGGGGGCCGTCCATAAATGACGTCACGCGATTTTGGACGATTTTTGACCCCCCCCCCCCTTCGTCCCACGGCGTCACAAAAAGTCAGACCCCCTCTCAAATATGACGTCACAAAGCTCTGCCTCCTCCCCCCCCCCCCAAAAAAAATTAAACATGCTTCAAATCGCTTTAAACTATTGTCATTGTAGTGATTATTTAATGTTACGTTGTAGGAGAAGACATTTATTAAAAAGTATATATTTAATTAAGTAGAACGTGTTGTCTATATTTACTTAAAATTACGCATTTTGATAGGACGTCACATTTCTCCACCCCCCCCCCCCCCTCGTCACACATCGTCACAAATGTCTGACCCCCCCCCCCCCTAGGTGCGTGACGTCATTTATGGACGGCCCCTTGGGGGGGGGGGGGGTACCACTCCTGACGTTGTCGTTCCAGCCACCAAACCGCGAGAATGCGATGGTCACCAACGGCCCCGTCCATGATACCGTATTGACCGGTGATCTTCACAAATGCCTTCGCGAATCAGAGAAGGGGCCACCCTCCCCGATACGACATCGGCGGAGCTGAGGGCCGTTCGCCACGCACGTTTGACATCATTGGAGGTTTTGACGGAAGCACAACGATGGTGATTGGAGGGGTCGCACGTCAAGGGCGGTGGGCCTTACACTGAAAGAACACTGGTCTTGGTCTTGGCTCGAAGCCACTGAACCTCTCTCACACCGTACGTAGCTAATCGGAGGTGCGAGCATTGCCCCCCCCCCCCCGTCATGCTCGTTTGAGGATGAAGATTGCTCCGACTTGATTTGAATAAAGAACCCAGAGTGCCCAGGATAATGATTTTTTTTTTTACAAACGGAAGCTTCGTGCCTGTGTGTCGCACACATCCTTCAGTTTAACACGTGGGATTTCGCGACCAATACCCATAATAGAGGGGTATTTTCGGGTGAGATCGCGTAAATATAAATGTTTCGTTAAACCCGCCACCAGCCGACAGCACCAAATAGTTAGAGTTTGTCACGTAAACAAAATGTGTCAATTAGTTACCACTTCAGCACACCGGCGTGTTGGAGAGTAAACCCACAGCATTTACAATTTGTGTGCGACGCTTCGTTTACAGTTTGACCAACTTCAAATGTTTCCTGGAGCTGCCCTGGACCAAAGACAAACTGGCAGCTGCTCCATTGGATGGAGTCAATCGGGTTTTCATATTTCCCATTCCATTCCTCCGTACGATGGTAAATGTGTTTAGGAGCTTAATGCCAATGTCGAGGCCTGCTGGCAACGATGAGGGCTTCAGCAGCAGCAGAGAGAGACAGTGCGTATCTAATGTGCCCCCCCCCCCTCCCGATACGTTCCATTCATTGGCTACCACATTCTGATAAGCTCCTCCGCCCCCCCTCTCCCCCTCCTGAACTTGTATTTAAGAGCTTGCATCTTGAATCCCTGCCTCACTTGATGCAGTAAATCTGGCTGTGACGGTCCCACCTGATGACGGAGACTTGTGTTGCCTCTGAAACGTCCTGATTTTATTATTTTATTTTTATTATTTTTTATTTCATTTTTTTTACCTACGTGACTTTACCGAAAGAACTAAGAGTATGAATCCTTGTAGTCACGAAAGCTTCAAATCTAGAGAGAGAGAGAGAGTTCGTGTCGTTTTGATGCTCATCCTCGGTTAAAGGAGCACAGACTACAGTGGGTTTACGAAATGGTCCATAGTTTGGGTTGCATGGCCCTAATTTGTCCAGTGATATCTTGCAACATCGTTATTTGTTGCCAGTAGGCTGACCTATTGCATTTGCACGGTAGGAGTGAGTGTGTGTGTCTTTGTATGTGGGAGCGGTGGTGTAGCGGTTAGCGCGCTGCGCTGAAAACCTGGCGACCCGAGTTCGATTCCCGCTCACGGCCAACACCGGTGACGATTATCCGAACCGGTCATGGGCCTCCCCTAGGTCGACTCAGCATCAAATGAGTACCTGGTGCAATGTGTAAATATCGCCACGCGGGAGGCAAAGGCGGCCGGGCGTGGTGTTGGCCACCCAACCCCCTTGTGTGCCGTACCGGCCTTCATAGGTCCTCGCTAATAGCACTTGCCCTAACAGTCTGTTAAGGCCATACGGGGGATCTTTGTCTTTGTCTCTATACGTGGACACGTGACCAAATTCAAGAGCTCCGGTCTGGTGGCGATTTAATCCAGTGGAGGTCTCCGCAGTCATTTCTGGATCTAATTAACACTTCTGAATTGACAACTATGTGGGGAAAACAGCAGCAAACGTGGCGCTTCATCAGAAGCAAGCTAAACAATTGATGAGATGCGGTGATAAAAAAAATGCCTGTGATGTCATTGTACCGACTCGTAAAATAGGAAATCTATATCCTTTACACGGCTGGTCCTATTACGGCACATTGCTTAGGACAAAATTTGAAATAGAATCAGGGAAAATACGTATTCGACACCAGGCGGGAATTATGCTATTCATCTCACTTTCATTTCTCTTCCGCACAGAAATCCATTTTAATATTTTAGAATTATTTCGCACCTCGAAGAAAAAATAGTGACACAAGTTAATTCATTTATCTGCTCGCCAAATGCGGAGACCCAATTATAGTGCGCGGTGGCGAATTGCCTCTGTGCTCTGAACCCAGTGATCTTTATTATTTTTGTAATATTTATTAAGCCTGCAGAGCATTGGCGAGTTTCGTCGCGATTCGAGGCGTGTACGTTGCATGTTGAACTTATTTCGCACCGAAAAATCACTTCTTCAAGACTGCTTTTTTCGTGTTTAGTTTGGTGTTGTCCCCCTTCAACTCCGATGATTATGGTTGGCGACGTAGAGTATGAAAGAAGTTCAACATTAATACATTATTAATATTATTTATCCTTAGTTAATATGCACTATAACTTCAGGATACGATTCTATATAGTTGCCATATTTTCAGTCTTGTTCTCAGCTTTATAGAGTGAAGATTTCACCTTCGGATTAGATATCACTTATAATGTTAAAATCTTATTTTTATTGGTTGTTAAAAAAACTTATTTTTTTGGTCAAACGATGGCAGTGGCATGACGACGATGTACTTCCAAGTTTAGCAATGCGGTGGAAGTTATATAACGTTAAATGATATTCCACGTAACGTACGGAGGCGAGCACGTGGAGAGCATTCGTACAGAAACATTTAAATCCAGCTAAAAACGCATCTCTTTATTTTTCCAATCGCTTTACTCCCCGCGATTCGAGCGCGAGAGCAATTTGAGATGAGTCAAAATGAGGCTGCCGCTTTGTTTGCTCAAGCAAATGCAATTACATTTTTTTTTGTTTCACGCTTATAAAAATATATAAACGAGACCGTAACGGTAAAAAGGGTGGAACGTCGCGTGAACAATTTGAGACTCACAGCTGTGACTTTAAAAGGAAAAACCCCTTCATTAAAAATACTGCCATTTTAATTGGTAAAGAAAAACAATGATTCGCGTTTCCGCCATGTCTTCCCCATTCACTGGGACAAGTGCGTTTGTGATTCGCTCGCAGCTAAGTGCTTCCTTGGACATCGCGTTGATCGTGGAGAGAGCCGAGAGGAGAGAGACGAGAGACGAGAGAGAGAGGCGCGTGCCAAGCAGCGGTGCCCTCCAGAGCGTGGTCCTTCGTTACGTAACGCGAAATATTCATTGCCTAATTAGGTAAAAGAGGCATCAGGTGCATGATGATGATGAACCATTAGCACTCGTGAAATAGAATTGTTTGAAAGAATAATATATATACATTTCTCAGGTAAGGGAGCATCTTTGTTAATGTTTAAAATATAAATATGTAGATATATGTGTGTCACACAGACATACCAGCATGCTTTCAGCACCGGACAAAAAATATCGGTCTTAATGAGCAAAAAACCTAAGCAATGCAGTGCCCTAGTGAATTTGAAGCATGTGCTTCTCTTGACGTTGATTAAGATGTCATATATATATGTGTCACTTGAGGTTTTGTTTCGTACGAAGTGTCTGCAAAGCCATCATATTTTATACAAAATTACTACAACAAAGTCGGCAGTATGGCTGCGTGGTTGAAACGTTGGCAACACGTTACGTACGTACGTATGTTTGTTTGTTCTGCCGAAAAACCCCAGTGATCTTCAACATCAAATAACGGTGGGATTTCAAACGATCACGCCAGAGATATTGCCGAACGCCTGGGACTCTTCGCCAATCTCAACGCGATGCGCACCGCCAACGCCGCGCGGACGTGCCGCAGGAGTGGGAACCTGCACAGGGCAGAAACCTTCACACGGACAATTGCGCACGCACGCTTGGGGAGACAAAGGCGGT